TCGGTTATGGCATCAATAAAAGACCTTTAGCCCTCCTTTTCTGTTCTCCCCAACATATGAATTCATCCTGAATTGTCTTTGACCCAAGCTATTATTTGAGAATAAACTACAGTTAGAATAACAGTATAATTTATCATCTAAACTTGGCTGTTTTAAGACTGAAGGGAGGAAGCCTGGACAAAAAAGAGCAAATCAAGACTTGCAGTAACCCTTGTCAGATTTTCATAGTATCGTCTGTCTCTCCATTATCTCTTATCTGTTTGGAAACCAGTTTACCCTTTGGTACCATATGCATAGGGGTTTTGAAGTTCATTATTGATGGGCAAACTAGCCATAGCCAGTGAGTTTTAGGGCTCTTGGTCTTGATTGTCCACTCAACCTTTAGCAGATTCTTTCTGGTTGGAATCTTGTAAGTAGATGGAGCTGTCTAAGTATTGCATCTATGTTAATGGAAAGCAGAATTAAGGTGATGTACCTTGTGGAGATGGTATTTATAGTCCTGCTAAGTGCAGTATTGAACCAAACCTTATTGTGATTGTTGAAAAGAGAAGTGTTTTTTTTTTAATAGCAGCCTATTAAAGCCATATCATTATGGACCACCTGAATATTTTGAGAGGGAAAGTGCTACACAAATGCCTAGAAGAGTCCTTACATGAGCCTTACAATAATAGCTCATAATCCCAATCTGTAGTAGATAGCATCTACTGCAAGGTAGTATGCAACGATAATACCAGAATTGCCATTGCTGAGGTACATTGCATGTACCTAAGGCTTTGCCTTGTATTTTGTGTGAATTGTGTTTCTTAACCCTCACAACAACCCAGTGTGCTGTTATACCAGACAACACTGAGACCAAGCAGTATCCCTGTGGCTCACCACACAGCATTATATCAGTACTATCTTCATGGGAAGGGATACTACACAGAACTCTTTCACATACATGATTATCTTTGATGTTGAGATAGCAGAAGACATTTCAAGTTGCTGGCAGTGTCAGCTTTTCAGCTAACTTGGTCAGCAGCTTCAGTAAAGCTGTTTACGGTAGATAAATAGCTCAGCTCAGTGAGCTGTTTAGGGTAGAGTCCAGATTTTCTTATTTTTTAAATATCCTGTTTTTTAATATTAAGAATAACTGTCTGTAAAGCTTATCTTGTACTACCAACACAACTGAAGTTTTCAAATAGTAAGGCTGAAGTTTTTATTACTTTTTCCTTGGTTTCTCTTTGTTTCCCTCATCTTTTTCTTCATTAAACAGTCTACCTTACTCGTTTTAAATATCCTAGCAAAAGTGTGTATTTTTAAAATGCAGGGCTTTACTGACCAATCACTTAGGGTATTTTGCCTTCTCTGGATTGCCATTGCTCCTAAATGTGACTCTCCATTTTTAACATATTTGCTAATATATGGCATCAAACTGTAATGAGAAGACTTGTCTTTAATGTTTCTAAATTTATAGATTATACATTGTCATGTAGGCTCAGTAAGTTTCTTAGAAAGTAAGCTATGGAAATAACTAACTTAGCTGAGCTTTTACAATAGTAATAGAGAAATAAAAATAAGCTTTTTTTCTGTAGCAAAGCATGACTACCTTTATCAGTGTTTATTTAATTCTTCTATTCACATGTCCAGTGATGATCCAAATGACCTTCCAGTGGCAGAATGGTGGACTGGTGAGATTCGTGGTGAGATCTGTGCCAAGTCCAGTTTGAGTCCAGAGCAGTCACATTACTAGAACAGTGCCGAGTGCCCCGGTGCCCATTGTGCAGCTTAACCTTTAAATGCTCGCGATAATTAGCTACTTTATCATTTTACTAGCAGACTCCAATGTGTAACTCTGTTCTTCAGTAAAATTCAGCAAAAATGCTACCTGTACAACCAGAAACAGCCACTTCAAGAAAAATAAAGCTATTTTATTGTACATGTATGCCAATAAGTAAGCATTAAGATTTAAATAGGCACTACCGTTCAGCATTAATTTTTAAGAAAGTAGTCCATCATTGTTTAGAAATAACTTGCAGTAGTGGAGATTACTTGCAGTAGAATGTGTTAGAATCCAAAGACTGTTTTTCTTCCTTTTGTGAAATATCAAATTAGTAGGATGAAGATGAAGGCATCTTGAGTAGCTAAAGGAGCAAGGGTGAAGAAGGGGCATAGCTCCCATTTTACCAGTTCCAAGGGACGTCACTCCTCACATCTCACTCTAGTGAATGGTTTCCCATGGAATTGTTCATCCAGTGGCCCCTGCGATGAGTTTTGGATTAAGATTGAGGCATGTGTGTGAGGTCATTGTGACTCATTTGTATTCAAAAACATTTCCAGCCAGTTCTCGGCTGCTCGCTGTGCTGGGTGCCCCTCCCCCCCAGGGAGGCCACAGCCTGAAGTGGGAAGCGGCCTCGTAAACAGATAACACATTTATTGCACATACTGCATTCATGGGATGAACAAAAGTTTAAGGGAACAAAGAGGAAATGAGTGATTAATTCTCCCTATCAGCATTTGAGGAAGCTTTGAAAAGTGACATTGGAGTTGGTTCCTACAGCTGAGAGGATTTTCAAAGTTAGATGCTGAGTGAAAGGGTATTTCCATAAGCCAGGGGAAAGGCTACAGAATGCAATGACAAAAACAGAGACCTCCGGACAGCATGAGCTCAAAGCATGACATGGGAGACATGGCCAGCACTGTGGATTGGGGCAGAGAGTAAGAACTTTGGGAAACAGCCTTACTCTGAAATTCAGACTTTTTCATATGAGTGGTAGGAAAGTATTTGCTTTTTTAAAGGAGGAGTAAAGACCAGTAGTCGAATCTGTCTTTGGGAAATAGGAATTCCAGAAGTGTGGAGCATAGATTAGATGGGAGGAAACTATGCACAGAGTCGTGGTATGAAATACATGGACTAGAAGCTCACAAATAATGTTTGTGTTTATTGTTTCAGTGGTCATAAAAACCAGACTGCAATGAGTTATGATGTAAAAAGGGAATCAGGAGCATTGAGCCAAGTTTGAAGCTTGGGGTATGAAGTTTGGAAGCAAAAGTCAAGTAGTCCACTTTTAAAAGTTGCTTAGGGGGTTAGTGGTAGAGTGCCTGCCTAGCATGTGTAAGACAAAGGGTCATATCCCCACATATGTACATACATGCACGCGTGACACATATACATACATACAACTTGAAATTGTTTGGCCTGTAATATTTTGTTTTAGTCCTTGGTCTTTCTGAAGAATGATGGAAGTCTTTTCTGCCACTTAGCTTAAACTTGAATTTGAGTAGGAATAGTTCCGGGGTTTGGTGCATATATTTTAGAGTATTCATATAAAACCTCTAGAGGGCTGGGCACAACAAGAATGGGATTAGAGAGACCCAGTCCCCAACAGTGGTCACCCATTCACCGGTCCCATCTCCCTCTCCCACTAAATACCCACCATCTAGCAACATGATTTGAAGGTTTAGAAATGCCAAATGTTTAGAAATGACTCAGTGGAAATAAAATGGAACTTGGAGCCCCAAGTTGTAGACACTGCTTCCCATGTTAATTTAAAGTTTGTTTTAAAAACTGTATAGCTGTTAATTATTACCAACAGACTAATACAAAGTTTAAAAAAATTCAAATGAATTAGTGATATATGAGATAAGTAATGTTATAAATAAGGAGAGCTCTATCAACAGTTTTCTGAGGTGATTTTTGGTGGCAGGCAAAAATGTTATTGTGGAAATTCTTACTCTTTCTACAACTTTTTTTTCCTTAGATTTTTTTTTTTTTTTTTTAATCGCCAAGTATTGTTTTTTCTGTGCTCCAAGATTAGCCTGTTCTTAACCAGCCTGGGGTAATTCTACCCTTGGGTGCAACCTGATACCCTCAGCAAGGCAGTCCTGCTGTGGACCAGCTTCCTGCCCCTTATACCACATTTTTCTTGAGCTCTTCTCTTTGGTCAGTCTGTGATAGTCACTGGCCATTTTTTAAGGGTAGTTTCAGTTTTCCTTTCTTCATCTGTGGTTTTAAATCTCTCATACCATGCAAATGTACCCACTAACCATCGACATTCATGGCAGAGAGACCCAATTCTCTGGCTTCAAATCTGTACTGGTGTAGTTCTGCTGTATGGGCACTTCTCCAGGTGAGAATGTTGAAGAGGAGATGTGTGAAGTCTGCAGCCTGAGCCTGTCTGTGCACACAACCCCTGATCATATTCTCCAGAGCATGGACCATCTTACTCTGTGGACGCAGTTAATTTCTTGGGTTTCCAGAAGCAAAAGAAGTAGCAAGCACATGAAAACTAGAGGAGTCATAAAGGAAAAAGTTCAAGTTTGCAGGTGGTGTTTTTCCTGCCACACTCTACATCTTCCAGACCATCCTGTTGCAAGGTTGAACAAAATTCTGTAAATGTGTGTCACATGGCCACTGTTTTTAGTTGCTCAAATCCCTAATAACCCCACCCCCTTTTCGTAGTACTGGTTATTTAAACTCAGGAGTTCATGCTTACTAGGCAAACAGTCTGTCACACCTTCCCCAGGCTACCCTTCAACCACAGTCTTCCTCCTGAGTAGCTGAAATTATACTTGTGTACCACCATACCCAGCCCCTCCTTTGTTTTTTTATTGAAAAATTGCTAGTTATCTGTTAAGCTTAACTCTATCCATAGTTTCTCTGTAGAAGAAAACTTTAAAACAAAAAAAGGTTGTCTTTCCCTTTCTCAACTTTATAAAAATGCTTTTTACAGAATAATACTTGAGTTTAAAGTTACCTTCTGCTCTGCTATCCTTTTTTAATTCCTCCCCTTCCTCTGTCCATTTCTCTACTTCCTCTTGTTCTTTTCCTTTTCCTCATCTCTTTCCTTCTTGTCTTGTTCTCTCCTTTCCCTTTATGCTTCTGTGTTATTCCTTTCATCTCTTCTCACCTCTCCTATCCTCAATAGCTTTCCAAATGTATATGACAGAACAAGTGATTTTAAAAAGTTGCCATTAAATGAATGATCATTTCTTGGCTCTACTTGCCTTTCCAATTCTAGAGCTCTTCGGTGTCCCCATCAGCCAGTTTCCGAGGGGCTGAGAAGCACAGAAACTCCACTGACTACTCCTCGGAGAGCAAAAAGCAGAAAACAGAAGAAAAGGAAATCACAGCTCGCTATGTAAGTTCATTTACCTTTGCTTTGGGAGAGGCCAGTTTACCTTGCTTTTTATCCGCAGCTATTCTACCTTTTGACTATTACCAGCCAATACTAGAACACAGGAGAAAAAAGTATGTATTTGCATTCACAGCCCTGGCCAGCTGCAGTCCTGTTTGTGTGCAGGTGCATGCACGTGGCTATGTGAGAGGATGGAGTCTTCATCTAGCAGCTAGTAGAAGATTTGGGTATTTTATGTTGTTGTTATTTTTATAAGTATGTTTGCTTCCCCCTCTGTATTTCAAGGTGGTTGAATTTTCTGTGTTTACCATAGAGATGTTAAGAAAAAATGTAAAATCATAGAAAATTTGTTTAAATGACTGGATGGACTCATGTTGAGAGAGATGCAAGTTTTGTGGAATATGACATGAACAGACATCCACAGTGTCCCTAGCATTTTGTTGAAGTTCATTTTCCTCTAGCAACTAGGAGGCAGGTGGCTGCTGCCCCACTTCACCTGCTGGTGCCCTCTAGGACTGTAGGACTCCCTGGAAACAGAATCTGGATTCTGCCCTTCCCACTTCAACAATATGGCTACTAATTCAGACTTTTAAACACTGAAAGAACTAACTATGCCCACCTATATATAGGCTAGATTTAGACTGGGCATGCAAGTTTGCAATCTCTGTTCTAGTGTGATAAGCAAGCCACTGTCCTCCATTTTTTAAACTAGAGAAATGAAATCATTACCTCATCATGAAGACGAAAGAAAATAGTGTGTTAACTCTTTTGTACAGTTTATTTTTATCAGATAGGAGAAATTAGTCTGGACTCATGCAGTGTAAATCTAGCTAAAAATGATTTTTTTGGGGGGATGGGGGAGGTGATAATGCTTCTTGATTGTGTCTGCAGGACAGTGATGGTGAGAAGAGTGATGACAACTTAGTGGTTGATGTTTCCAATGAGGTATGTTTATGACTAGTTTAACTTTTGGCTCCTACCCAGCTAGTATCCAAACTATTAGTATACAAAATATCTTAATTTCTTTACGGGCCCCCATTTTATTTATATGAGAAATTATTTATTATTGATTATTATGATTATTATATTACTAGCCCTTTCCTGTTCTTTTTCTGTGAAGTACAAGTGTCATTTTACCCCGTAACCAATTCATAACAGAAGTCAGTGGTCAGCCTACAGATCTTACTGACAAGCTGCTTGCAGATTGGTGGGGTTTTCGTTTTTGTTTTAAACAAATATTACAAAGTAAAATAGTATTTGCTTTGACTTCAGTATCAAATATTTGGTAATTTAATTGAGTCTCATTATCTGTTCCAGAACATTTTGCACATTAAATTAGTAAATGCTTTCAAGTAGAAGTGTCCATACCCACGGAACCCTGTGCTGGTAATGTGCTGTGAGCCTTACTGCTCATGATGTTCCTTTATAGGATCCGTCTTCCCCCCGAGGAAGCCCAGCACATTCTCCACGGGAGAATGGCCTGGACAAGACACGTCTGCTCAAGAAAGATGCCCCCATCAGCCCCGCCTCCATTGCATCTTCCAGCAGTACTCCTTCCTCCAAATCCAAAGAACTTAGCCTTGTAAGCAGCTCTTCTCCACCTTTCTCCATCATTGTTGCCAGTTTCAAAATAGTTGGGTCTAATTTTGATTTGTTTAAGGTTTTGTGTATTTCACGTTTTTCTATAGAACTTTAGTTTCCAAACAGTATCTGTGTTTAGTATTTAAGTTTAATTAGCAAAAGTGTTTTTGGAGCAGAAGTGTTTGCTAACTTGTCAGTGATAACTCTTTGCTTCAGGAGTGTTTTTGTAAGGTTAGGAGAGGGACATAAATACATTGAGAGAAGTGTGTTTTAGTGAAGTTGAAAAATACACACCTGGGTTATGGAGATGGTTTTGTTGCCTGTGGTTTAGGAATTCAGTATCATTTTGTTGCTAGTTTTGTTTGACTTACCAAGCTATACATGACTGCAATAATTTTTCCTTGCTATCTAAAAAGTAATCTGTCATTTATAAAAGTCTGTCTTGACTCATCACAAAAACCACAAATGCTATAATGAAGTGTTCACAAATCAGGATGATCTCCCTCACCTCCTCTTCCTGTGGCTATATAGTTAATTGCATTTTTGTGTGCTACATCTTTTTTATCACTGGTTATTTACTTGTAATATAACATTTTTTTAAACTGAATTTAGTTTTCAAGTGACTTTTTGAGTATACAGCTAAAGGAAAGGAAAATTGTACAATTTGTGTGCAAATTAAGATCTATCTAGCTGAAGTCTAGATTAAGAGGATTCTTTGGTGACTTTGTTGGGGTTTTTTGGTTTTTTCCCTCTTTGCCTTCTTTTTATTACATCTCTGTGCTGAGTCTCTGACAATTGAAGCTTGAGTCTTTTCTAATTAAACCGGTTATCCAGACAGTCTCCGTGACCGCCCAGCTTACACCAATCAGTCTTAAGCTAAAGCCACCAGCAAGTGGCCCATCACAGGTAGAATGCCATGGTTTCTCAACTGTTTTTTTACCCTCCACTTTTCTAGAAATGATCAACTCTGTGAAGTCAGCTTCAATTCATGTCCTTCTAAACTTTGATCTCTTGTTTTTTCTCTTTTTAATTAATGGAAGAAAAAGGCCAAGCTAAAGAAACTCTTTCATTTCTTTTTTCTTTCTCTTTTGTTTTCATTACCTTTTTAAAATTAACATCATTGATAAAATCATGTTGTCATGGCTGGTACACTGTATCTCTTGATAGAATGAAAAATCTACTACCCCTGTTTCGAAGTCCAGTACCCCTACTCCTCGAACTGATGCGCCCACCCCAGGCAGTAACTCCACTCCAGGATTGAGGCCTGTTCCTGGAAAACCACCAGGAGTGGACCCCTTGGGTTAGTAAGAAAAAAATGTTTTTCTGTGTTATATTTATGCTTCTGTTTTTAAAGGAATTAAAGTGATTAAAATAGTGTGACAACGTTAAACATACTAATGACCAGCACTGAATGATTGTTAGACAAAAGTTATTTATCCCAAAAGCCTTAAACCAAAAGCCTCCCACCAACAATGTTTGGTACGTGGTAGGTTTTCAGTAAAAATGGTGAATGAATGAACCCATCTGAAGGCTTGAAATGACTTTTGAGAATATTAAAATAAGTGCATTTGAACCATGGGTTTTTTTTTTTTGTTTTTCTTTCCTCCTTCCATTTTGTTTTGCAGCATCCAGCCTAAGGACCCCCATGGCTGTACCTTGTCCATATCCGACCCCATTTGGGATCGTACCCCATGCTGCGATGAATGGGGAGCTGACGAGTCCTGGAGCTGCCTATGCTGGACTGCACAATATCTCCCCACAGATGAGTGCAGCCGCCGCTGCCGCCGCTGCTGCCTACGGACGATCACCAGTGGTACACTTGTGGGCTTTTACAAAGTAACACTTCAGAGCAGAGTTGTCATGGCTTTTTAAAATGATGTGAGGTATTTATAGAAGAATCCAAGTACATTCATACCTTGAGACCTATTTTCTTAAAAGGTGAAAAATTTATTTTATATCTGCTTTTAAATTAGTATTACCTTTGACATTTCAAACCTACGAATTAGATCACATAGTATAAGCACTACAACTAGCCCTTTGCCTCTGTCATGAGTTTCAGTGATCAGTAGTATAATTTTTTCATGTATGTTCCACCCCTGAATTAAATCCTGAACATCCTGTCATTTCATCAGTGAATACCCTACATATCTCTAAAATCTTATTTTCAAAGGATCTAATGTCTCAGGTACTAGAAAAAATATTAAGATAAAGCAAGTGAATATAACTGTGCTTGTGTTTGTTGTTTTCCTCGGGGAAAATTCTAGGTGGGATTTGACCCACATCATCATATGCGTGTGCCAGCAATACCTCCAAACCTGACGGGCATTCCAGGAGGAAAACCGTGAGTACCTTTGTCTCTTTGTATTCATTATATGCCAAACCGTAGTCTCTTGCTTGCGTTTTAGAATTTGAGCACTGCTAGACAGTGTTAGGGGGTTCTGACTTTCTTCCTTGCAGAGTATTTTTCATTTTCTCTTAGCACAAGAAAAGAGGTAATAAGGTGTGGTTTTGTACATTCAATTTAAAAGCTTGAGCTTTAATATGGAAATGTAGGTTGCCAAGGCAGCTCCAGCAGTCAGGTCTTTTCCATGTCTGTTGCTGATTTTAAGGCAGTTCTTTGTTTAAAAAGTCTGCTATGTGCCAACCTTGATGCTCAAAAATTCGAACATCAAGGGAAAAGACATGCCAAACCTCAAAGACTTCAAAGAATTAAGGGCAGTCTTATGCTCAGTTCTGTTTCCAGAAAAGGTGGCTTATTCATTTGGATTCTTGTACTGTGATTTGGGCATTTGGAATTTTTTTGTTTCACAGCCACTTGAACTGTAACAGACCAAACACAACACACCAATTCCAGCCTCCACTAGTACATTTTAATGTCTCACCATCTCATTTCAGTATAAATGTACCTTTTTATCACTACCTAAGCACACTTCTCTCTAACTGGTTTGATCTTCCCAGATATGAAGACTTTACTGTAATGTTGCACTGGCTCTTCCTTTAAAATCCAGGAAGTTTTCCCTGAAGACTCTCCTTGCCTTGGTATTCAAATGTGTATGTTTATCCTCTTTCCTCTTTGATCAGCATCCTCTCTGACACCCTGCATGCCATACATACATGTGCTGCCTCCCCCAGTTTCCAGTGGTATCCAAACTTGACCCTGAGTAGCATTTAAAGTCCTCTTCTCCCCAAGGCTTTCTTGGTGGCTCACCTCTCAGGGCATTTGCTTTTACTGCTCCTTACTGCAGCACATTTTCTGTGGCTCACTGTCTCACTTCAGGTCTCAGTTAGATACCTTCTTAACAGAGCACTCTACCTTGAGAATTCTGTCTTTTAAATAGCTTCCTATCCGTTTCTCCCTTCTTCACTACTGATCTTTCTATTCCACTAACTTTTTAAGTTTTTTTGTTACTTTGTTTTGAGTTAGGGTCTCACTGTGTAGCCCAGGCTGACATCAAACTTGTAATCCTCCTGTCTCCACCTCCCAAGTGCTGAAATTGCAAGCATGTACCATCACACCCAGCTTTTTATGTGAATTGATAGCTATTATCTGCCTCTTCCCCACTTGAAGATAAGTTCTATGAGAACAGAGCAGAACCTTTTGCTCTTCAGTTATAAAAATAAATCTAGTACCTTACTCCTACTTCATAGTTGGTGTTTACGATGTAAATTTGCTCAATGAATGAATGAATGAGTGCTGATTTCTTCCTTCTGTAACTTTGCTTTGCTTATGACTTCACTACTGTACACAAAGGCTCTTGGTTGTCACTTTAGTGTTTACTGTGTGTTGTTTTTCTCCCCTGATCACCTGGCCCTCAGTGTTCAACATGCCTGACCTTAACCTTTTATTTGCTGTCCATCTACTTAATAAAAGTCCTTATTCTTCCCTCTGTAACTGACTTCACTGTAGATTCTATCCTAAACTTCATTGCATCAAACAATGCTGGCTCAATAGCTAAGTTGCTCAGTAAATATTTGACTGATTAATAAGGGAAAAAAGGCAAATTAGACTTTGAGTTCCTTGAGAGTTGAAGGTATAAATATCAATTACCATAAAATTCTGTGTACCTGTGTGTGTGTGTGCTGCAAATAGTTGTTGACAGACTGACAAGTTTTGTTGGTCAAGAACTATGATGTATTTAAAGGTGAAAGTTTGGTCTATTTCAAATAGTGACTAAATAACAAGGTCATAAGAGTAATCAAGTATCAACTCAAATACCTACAAGTATTGGTAGGGGAGATGAAAGGGCTGCTTTAGGGAGGAGGTGTTGTCCTTTTATTTGGTGCTGTGCATGTTACCACAGGAGTCACCAGCAGTTACCCCAGAACTATAGTATAGCCATTAGAGTAGATTAGGTGAAACTCAGCTGGTGCCTTGAGGCCACAAGGGTAAAGGTATGTTCTGTGTATTTAAAGAAGGAATGATAGTCTTAGTTTAGGGGTTCAGCTAGTTGAACCACTGTAAAGTCACAACTGATCTGACTCCTGGTGCTTTGGAGTCTTGAGTTGCCCTTCCTCCATTGTTGACTCTTAGTATATAAATCAGTAAGAACTTTTTGGCAGGTTAACGAATTGGAAGATTGTTGAGAATTTTTGTTCCTAGGAATGATGAAGTCACACCTAATGTATTTGGTTAAGTGACTCTTCACGTGGCAAACCAACAGGTGTGGTTGGTGTAATTGACAGGCTTATGGATTGAGGAGTGTGACAAACCAAATTTGAATTTTAGTTTTGCCATGTGACCACTAAGAATACTGGCATTCATTGCCCAGTTTCCAAACTTGATGACTTTCATTTGGTTCCTCTGTACCTGTCACCTCCTTGAAAAGAAGAGTGTGAGGATGACTATCCTGACAATATGCTATATCTTGAGCACTATTTTGGTATATGATGGTTGTTTAGTTGTATATGATGGTTGTTTAGTTGTTCCCAGAATCATCTGGACTTGTTACCAATTTTTCAAATGCTTGTGCAGTGGAAGGTATAGTATGTAGGGGGCAGAGATGATGAAGATTGAATTGAGTATTTGTAGTCTATGGTTTCTATCTGTGGTATGCCTTTAACAGGGCATCAACATATATAATTCATGTTCATTTATGCATATGAGTAATGTTACTTTTATTTAAATGCTCCTCTCACAGATTCATAAGCACAGAACTTGTGACAACTTTATCTGTGTTTTTTTTCGCAGAAACCTTCTGTAGGTTGGGAACATAATATATTAAAACATATTACCCAAAGTAACACACTCACAAAGTAACTGCCTTTCTCTAGAAAGACTTACAACAATTTTGTATACGATTCCTCATTTAAGGTTTACAAGTGACCTTGCTAAGTATTATTTCAAATTCATAATTAATGTGTATTCCAAGCTAGTGAGTAAAGTAGGATTTATTTGATAATTCACTTTGGGTCATCCTCTTGTCTGTTAGGTGGTTAGAATGACGGCATAGTTTAATTTTAACATATGCCAAAAGTGGGCTTTCTCCCTCATCTGCTACTTAAATGAGGGCTTTCTTTATTAAATAGGTATAAGTATATTGATTAAACCACTGGGGTACTACACTGTATTTACAGGATGTAGCCTATGGCACAGCAAAAAAAAGGTTTCATCTGTATGGGTTTCAAGCTGCTTCCACCAATTCAGAATCTTTCTTTGTGGGTGATGGGTTATGGTTTTATTAAGTAAGACTTTTATCAAAAATGTTTACGTAGTTAAACCCATGCAAACAAGTATGGTTGTCATATGCTACATACCAAAATAATTTTCTCTTCATTATTCATAAAGGTACAACAGTCAGACTTTGTAATTCAAGGATTAGTCCCATCGTGTGTGACAGTGAGGACTTCGGAAAAATCGAAGTCTGAGGGAGTTCAAACCCAAATAAACCAGGAACTGCAGCTCTTCAGAGAGGAGAAATGAGTGTGGGAGCGTTAAAGAAGGTCAAGGATCATCGTTATATGATTTATGCTTCATCAAAGATAAGGAGCCTAATAAAGTAACAACTCTTAATGCAATATTAAAAAAAAAGAGTTTGTTGCAATGCCAGAATAGTTTGTAATACAGTCTATGTCAGAAAGTCCAAACTTAACTTATCTTCACTGTTTCTGCTTTTCTCTCACCTGTCTGTTTTATGCCAGTGTTCTCAGTCTTCATTGACTCCCTCCTCAAATCTCATTTAGTTAGGTTCCTACAGAAGTTTTGTATATCCATTGTTATTTCCAAACTTGTCATTCTTGCCCTTGCCTACTTCAGGTCCCCTAGATTATTTGGAATAATTATTTTCTTGATTCTTCTTTTTCAATCTGTGTTAGCCTTCCATCACTGTGACAGCAATAAACTGAGATAAATACATTAAGAAGGAAAAATTTTGGGGGCTCATGGTTTTCAGCAGGTTTTTAGTCCATGATCAGTTGTCTCCACTGCTTTTTGATATGAAACAAAGCAGTGCATCATGATGGGAGCATGTAGTAGAGGAAACTGTTGATCTTATAGCAGCTGAAAGGCAAAGAGACAGATAGGAAGTGACCAGGGTCCCAGTATTCCCTTCAAGGGAATATTCAGTGATCTCTTTGTCTCACTAGGCCCTGCCTTCTGAAGATTCCACCACCTCCCAGTAGTTGCACAGTATGAAAACCAAGCCTTCACCACCTGGGCCTTTAGGGGATAGTAAGATACAAAATATAGAACTACCCTGTTCCTTGACACTAAGTTTATTTTTTAAATTACTTTCTTTGCCCGGAGGATTTAGTAAATCCTCTCTCTGCAAAGTTTTCAGGCCAACATTCTAACTGCCCCTTGTATGCATTATATGAGGTATATATCAGCTATATTTTGTTTGACTGGGCTCTGGCCAGCTCCTCCACTTACTCTGGGCTCCTTCTTGAATAAAGGTGAATTCCTGAATTGAAACCAATTCAGAGTTTCCAAGATCATTTTACCTCATCCTTTTGAAGTACTTGTTCTCTGCCATTCCTGCCACCTAGAATGTTTTTTCTGTCTGTCTGTCTCCTAGGTGAAACCCATTTCTAGTACCTTGTGTTTCATTAGGTAGAGCCTTTATCTTTCTTTTTAAGTCATCTCAGAATTATACTTCCCATTGGAGTGTGACCTGGTACTACAGCCACTTTTGTGCTTTTCTTATCATCATTATTAGATTATAAGCCACTTGAGGGCAAGACTGGCATGACACCTCAATTTTTTTTCATTTTTCTTTTATTATTCATATGTGCATACAAGGCTTGGTTCATTTCTCCCCCTGCCCCCACCCCCTCCGCCCCCTCCCTCTCCCCCCATCAATACCCAGCAGAAACTATTTTGCCCTTATTTCTAATTTTGTTGTA